AGACCTGTTCAAGCTTTGATGTGCAAAGTGCAAACAATCTGGATAATATGACAGAGATCTCACAATATGCATTACATGTGATGGATTTAAACTTGTCTCCTATGGGCTTGCATTGGCACTGGTTCTGTGTGTGTGTGTGTGCGCACACACACACACACACACAGTGGTGGGTTGCTACCAGTTCGCCCCGGATCAGGCGAACCGGTAGCAGCGGCGGGAGGCTCCGCCAGGGGTGGGTTCTACTTACCTTTACTACCAGTTCGTAGCAGAGTTGCGCACACGCGCGCAAGCAAAGAATCTTCTGTGCATGTGCAGAAACATTTTGATGACATCGGGGTCAATGGGTGGAGCTTCCCACTGGTTTTACTACCGGTTCTATAGAACCGGTGCGAACCAGGAGCAACCCACCACTGGGCTCCGCCCACCTACCCAGGCACTTTTGCACATGTGCAGAAGTTTCTATGCATGCACAGGAGCATCGCGCGCAAGCACGTGCACACAAGCGAACTGGTAGCGACGGGTTTTGAAACCCACTAGTGGCACACACACACATTTTACAAAATGCTAGAGGGAGGGGGCAGAACACCTCTGCCACGCAAGCAAATCCCAGGGCCCTGGGCCTTAAGAAACAAAGCTGCTGTCAGGCTCACAGCCACCCACCCACCCCTGCTGGGGTCTCTTCCCCAGGCCCTCTGGTTGAGACCAGCCTCAAAAAGATGTGGCTGCCCCTAAAGAGCTTCCTGGAGCCCTTTCAGCCGAGCCTGGAAAGCGGGTGCTTGTCAGGGCACAAAGTCTATGATTCCGCACCCCAGAAGGAGGGCCGCGGCTGTTTAGATTCTGTCGTACGCTTGGGCAAACAGTAGAAGAATGTGAACGTAATCTGAGGTCAGCTTTGGGTTGCATTAAGACAGCAGGCTCAGGGCTTAATTTGGAAAAATGTAGGTGGAAACAAAAAGAACTTTCCTTTTTGGGACAAACAATTTCAAAACAGGGATTGAAGCCTAACCTGAATACATGCTGGCAATTTCAGAGGCGCCTCCTCCCAGGAGATACAGACACAACACTTTGCAGGCGGGGGGTGTGTCTTTCCTTTAGTATGAAAAAGGTGTTCTAGATTAGGCACTGGGGGGTGGAGTTAATTGTCATAAATCCCCTCCAGAAGCTGTTTTGAGAATTCGAATTTGGGGTGGAAAGGGTTGCCGAGGCAAATTTTGAGAAGAGAAAGGGCCTGCTTGTTAAAGACCTTGTTTGACCCTGCTTGGTGACCACAGATTCTTCCGATTGTGGATCAGGAGATGCATTTGCACAATTATAGGATGGGAGAGCTGAGAAAACTTCTGCATTCACATCTGGAACAGCCACTGATGCCGTAGGACAGAGGTCTCCAACCGTGGCAACTTTAAGACTTGTGGACTTCGGCACAATATTGGAAGAAGGAAGAACTACCTACTATTGAAGAATGGACATTAAAAGTAGCTAATTTGGCGGAGATGGCTAAAATCTCTGCATATTTGAAGGACCGTTCGAATGAAAGATATGTACTGGAATGGAGAAGATGGGTTGACTATATACAAAACAAATATGGGACTAAAAAATTGCAAATAGCTTATGAATGAAATATTTAAATGATTTTTCTTTTTACTTTGATATTTTAGTACCTATGGGGGAGTTAAAGAGTAAGGGGAAGTTAAGAGTTTATAGTTAGTTTGTTTATGTTAGATTATGTTTGTTAAATGCAATACCCTGTATTTTGCTCTGGGAAGTCCAGCGGGGGGGGGGAGGGAAGGGAAAGGGGGGGGAAGTTGTTTGTAAAACATTTTAAAACTTTTCAATAAAAAAAAAGAAGAAAAAAAAAAAGAAGACTTGTGGACTTCAACTCCCAGAATTCCTCAGCCAGCTTCACTCTGGGAGTTGAAGTCCATTAAGTAAATGGACATTTGGAATACTGCAACAAGTTTTGGTCACCATGACATAAAAAAGATGTTGAGACTTTGAAAAGAGTGCAAAGAAGAGCAGCTAGGATGATTAAAGGCCTGGAGACTAAAACATATGAAGAACCGTTGCAGGAACTGAAGATGTCTAGTCTAATGATAAGAAGGACTAGGGGAGACATGATAGCAGTCTTCCAATATTTGAGAGGTTGCCACAGAGAAGAGGGGGTCAACCTATTCTCCAAAGCACCAGAAGACAAGACAAGGAACAATGGATGGAAACTAACCAAGGAGAGAAGCTCTGTTCTGTATCATGCAGTCATTAAGTAAATCCAGCTATCCCCATTAATTTAGCTTGTCGGAAGCTAGCTGGTATGGTTGCAAATGATGATTATGACATCTGCAACCATCATAAATAGATGTTGGTTGCCAACCACCCAAATTTCTGACTCAAATGACCATGGGGATGCTGCAATGGTCATAAATGCAAGGACCAATCATAAGTCATTTTTTCAGAACTGTGGGAACTTTGAATAGCTGTTAAATGAATGGCTGTAAGATGAGGCCCACCTGTATGCGTTGCACTCTGGATCAGTGGTGAAATTCAATTTTTTTTACTACCGGTTCTGTGGGCGTGGCTTGGTGGGTGTGGTGTGGCTTGGTGGGCGTGGCTTGGTGGGCATAGCAGGGGAAGGATACTGCAAAATCTCCATTTCTCCCCCACTCCAGGGGAAGGATACTGAAAAATCCCTATTCCCTCCCTTTCTGGGGGAAGGATATTGCAAAATGTCCATTCCCACCCCACCCTGGGGCCAGCCAGAGGTGGTATTTGCCGGTTCTCCAAACTACTCAAAGTTCTCCAGAACTTGTCAGAACCTGCTGGATTTTACCCCTGCTCTGGATACTGCCAGACGAATGACAGCGTTATATTGTTGGCACACAAGGTGTGAGAACAAAGCAAAGGAGGTGCAGCAAAATCATGCGCCAACAATAAGAGAGTTACACCATTACACTGTGTGCCTCTTCTGGGTGCTATTGATGTTGTGAGTTCTTTTGACAACGGGTGGATTGTCATTACACATACAGTTGGCGATCAGAATGGTTTTCACACCACAAGGCACTGAGACCACAGCTATTACATTTCTTTCTCTTGTTTTTAATGGGAAAGGAATCCTTAAGTTGGCCTCTAATTCTGGTTTACTTAACAGAATATCAGAGTTGGAAGGGACCCTGGAGGTCTTCTAGTCCAACCCCCTGCTCAAGCAGGAGACCCTATACCATTTCAGAGAAATGGTTGTCCAGTCTCTTCTTGAAAGCCTCCAGTGATGGAAGCACCCACAACCTCTGAAGGCAAGCCATTCCACTGGTTGATTGTTCTTACTCTTAGGAAATTTCTCCTTAATTCCAGGTTGCTTCTCTCCTTGGTTAGATTCCATCTATTGCTTCTTGTCCTGCCTTCAGGTGCTTTGGAGAATAGCTTGACCCCCTCTTCTTTGTGGCAGCCCCTCAAATATTGGAACACTGCTATTCTACTATCCCTAGTCCTTTATTGGAAATGAAAGTTTTCTAGCAAAAAAACTAGTATTACACATGAGAGATGTATTATCCACCAGTAAATGCAGACTTTGAGAGTTCACTGGAATGCAAAGATCACTTAGATAGCAGAGAGGAAAATGGTGGAGGACATGTATTCCTAAGCCTTTATGGAAATGCACAGAGACATCACCAGCAGAAGTCTTGCAGAAAGATGTGTTGGGTAGCTAATAAATTCAAATGGATGGATGGATGGATGGATGGATGGATGGATGGATGGATGGACGGGTGGGTGGGTGGGTGGGTGGGTGCGGTGAAGACCAGACATGAAGACAAGATGGAAAAGAAATGAGGAATTTCAAAATTGTTCCAATCTGCAGAAGAAGCTAAAGGACTAGAGTAAAAGAAAGAGGAGATGCTACATTTTCTCACAAACTTCAAAAGGACATTATAATCATAAAAGTCTACATGGGTGGCTACATGGTATTATACCGTACTTCCTCCTTTTTGCAATATTTGCAGAGAAAGATGGCAGCATCGGACACCTTGGCTTAGCCTTGGGACTGCAAGGTGGAAGGCCCTAAGGGTAACCTTGAAGGAAGAGCCGCAGCCGAGGCAACGGGCAGAGAAGAGTGATCTGAGTCCTAAGCAGGAATGTAATGTGAGAAAGCGTCTCAGACTTCACTTTTCTGGGTTCTCTGTTGGATAAAGTCATTTGGGGAGGTGAGGGGAGGCCCATTCAGACTTGATTCTGTTGCTGTAACTGTATCATCAAAGTAGTTTTAATATTCATGACTTTGGTGTCTGAATCTGGTCTACCTTGGAAGCCTGACAGGTAAGAAGTGGAACCAGTTAGGAGCTGAAGGTGAAATCTGGCCATTTTGCCAGTTTGAAATTGATGCTCTGTAAATATGAATTCTTCTCTGGGAAAGAAATGTGAAAGGTGACTATTGTCATTGTGTAATGTGATTTCTAAGGACCTTGGGTGGCTCACTGGTGGGAAGAAATGAGTAGGTAAAAACGGGGGAAGCAGCTGTTGTCCTTAGTTATGTGGTTCTAAATCAGAGGTGGAAAATGATGGCCCCTTTATGACTTGTGGACTTCAACTCCCAGAATTCCTGAGCCAGCAGGAATCCTAGTTCAGGAATTCTGGGAGTTTAACAGTTTAACAGAGTTGGAAGGTGTTCTATCTGGAGAACTAGGCAATAACGAGGAGGCTTGGCTAACGAACACAATACTTTATTGCTAACAATAGGAACTCTTGAACCAACAACTCAGTGCGCACGCGTTTGCTGTGTGTCAACTTGTTGCCGTCTGACAGCTGCTTAAATAGAGGCTGTCAGATCGGCGGGGCCCAATAGGAATGTAGCGTTTTCCCACTAGCTGCCTGCTCACGTCTAACCCAATCAGAGCAGGGCAGCAACAAGGAAGGCTCCAGCAGAGGTCGTACTTGTGAGGACTTAACACCCCTTCCCACCTGAGTGGCGCATGCATAGTCCGCCAGATACGTCAGCTGACATCGGCTCCGCCCAGATCTCCTCAGTTCCGGGGCGGCCACAGTTGGAGGCGGAGCTGGAGTGTCGTGCTCCAGGACTACAGGAGTCTGCGCCCTGGTGGTGGCCAGAACCAGCATGAAATTGGAAGAGCCTGATTGACCCGGTAAGGGTGCCGACAAGAACGATTCGGGTATAGTCAGGTCTTTGGAGGCCGGTGTAGCTGGAGAGGTGTTAGAATCATCACGCCGCCATGGGTTGCCTGAATAGGTTCAGTTTGGGAGTAGGCCTCACTGGCGACCCTCCATCGAAGTTGGTTTATGTGCCTCCGGCACACCCGTCCATCATCGAGTTGGACCCTATAAGAGTACGGTCCGGTTAGTTGGAGCACACACCCTGGTAACCATTGTACACTTGACCCATAGTTTTGAACATATACAAGGTCCCCTGGTGCAAACGTCCGGAATCTGGAGGTTGTGTCTTGGAGCAGGTCAGGGGCGTATGATGGGTGCAGTCGGTCTAACAGTGTCCAGAGCCTCCGTCCCATGAGCATTTCAGCCGGACTGACTTTGGTGACTGGGCAGGGCGTTGTATGTTGTGTGAGTAGATATTGGCTAAGAGTATGATGCCAATCGGAGTGGGTCAGGTGGCTCAAAGCTTCCTTGGCCGACCTCACGGCCCGTTCCGCCAATCCATTCGCAGCCGGGTGGTAAGGGGCCGTGGTGGCATGGCGTATGCCCAGCTTGGTCAGAAATATCTGGAAGGGTGCCGCGGTGAACTGGGGCCCATTATCTGTCACTAATAAATCTGGCAACCCATGGGTTGCGAATAGCCCCTCGAGGGCCCTGACTACGGCCTCAGAGGTAGTGGAATGCATCAGAGCCAGCTCCACCCACTTAGAATACGCATCCACTACAACCAGGAACGTGCGGCCAAGAAACGGGCCAGCGAGGTCCACATGGATCCGCACCCAGGTCCATATGGATCCGCACCTAGGGGCTTCCCACTCTTGGACAGGGGCCGCCAGAGGAGCCGGCCTGGAAAGTTGGCACGTAGTACACCCGGCCACCCAGCGTTCAATCTCGCTGTCCAGCAGGGGCCACCACACATAGCTGCGGGCCAGGGCCTTCATGCGCACTATGCCAGGGTGGGCCTCATGGAGGCAGGCCAGGACCTGGCACCGCAGCGCTGGGGGACCATGACCCTATTACCCCAGAGGAGACAACACTTCTGGACGGACAGTTCCTGCTGCCTGCGATGGTAGGGCAAGAGGTCAGGTGGTACCGGACCCTTCGACCCCCTGCGAACATGATCAAGGACCCGCGAAATGATAGGGTTGGAGTTGGACAAGGCCCGAATGTCCGAGGCGGACATCAGCGACCGCAGCTCTTCTACCAAAAGGACAGTGGCTGCAGGGGCAGGATCTTGAACGGGACCATGAAGCGGGCAGCGGCTAAGGCCATCTGCGTGTCCGATGGCTGAGCCCGGTTTATAGAGGAGCTGGTAGGAATAGGCGGATAGAAATTCCACCCAACGGGACATGCGGGGGGACAGAATTTGCGAAGTCTGGCGGTCGCCGGCCAGCAAACTGAGGAGCGGTTTGTGGTCCACAATGACAGAGAAAAAACGACCATAGAGGTATTCATAGAAACGTTTGATTCCAGCTACGACAGCCAGCGCCTCCCGATCCAATTGACTGTAGTTACGTTCAGGGGCAGATAAAGTGCGAGAATAGTACGCGATGGGGGCCTCCATGCCATTTGGAAACATATGGCTTAGAATGGCCCCCACGCCATAGGGAGAAGCATCACACGTCAAAGACAGGGGAAGGTGCTCGTCGTACTGGACGAGGACAGCCCGAGAAGTCAGGGAGTCCTTGACAGCTTGGAACGAGGCAGCGGCAGCCCGGTCCCAATGCCAAGGCGTCTTGGAATCTAGAAGCCGATGCAGAGGCTCGGCCAGGGATGCTTTATGGGGCAGAAACACCACGTAAAAATTGAGGAGGCCTAAGAATGCCTGTAACTCAGATTTGTTGGTCAGGGCAGGGGCATGCTTAATGGCCGCTATCTTGGACGGGGTGGGGTGAATCCCTTGCGCGTCAATAAGAAACCCCAGGAATTCCACCTGGGGAACCCCTAGTGTGCATTTATCCCTCTTGAGCTTGAGCCCAGCATTGCGCAGGCGGGTCAGGACGGTCCTCAATTTGGATAGGAGGTCGGAGTGATTGGCAGCAGATACAATAATGTCGTCAAAATATGGCACCACTCCGGGGATTCCTTGCAGCAACCTTTCCATTATACTCTGGAATATCCCCGGAGCGACGCAGACCCCAAATTGAAGGCGCATACATTTAAACGCACCCCTATGCGTGACTATAGTTTGGGCCATCACAGTCTTCTCATCAACTGGAAGCTGCTGATAGGCCTGCGCCAGATCTAATTTGGCGAATACCTGGCCGTGACCCAAAGAATGCAGCAAGTGTTGGACCATGGGGACCAGATACGGATTTGCCTGCAGCCTTATTAGGGGTGCACTTAAAATCAGCGCAAATCCTCACGGACCCGTCTTGCTTAAGGGGAATTACTATTGGTGTCTCCCAGCTAGAGTGGTCTACTGGTACTAATATTCCCTGTGCTATAAGCTTATCTAGTTCCTTATCGACCCGTGGCCGCAGCGCCAGCGGCACCCTTCGAGGTTTTAGGCGGATTGGTGTGACTTGGGGGTCCAAATTAAATGAGATAGGGCACCCAATATATTTACCAAGGCGGTCATCAAAGACATCTGTGAACTCACAGGCCAGCATTGCAGACACATCCGGAATTGTTGAGTGGACACCAGGGACATTGAGGTGCAGCGCAGCAAACCAGTCAAGACCTAAAAGGCAGGGCAGGTCATTAATGGCAATTTGCCAGAAAATGACTGGTAAGACACCTGGAAGGTGTCATAGCCCACAGTAGGAATAGCCTTTCCCTGGTAATCTTTCAGGGCAACAGGGCACGGCTTCAGCCGGCGTCTAGAGACATTGGGCAATAGCCAGGATAGTGTAGACCAAGCGATAAGGGACTTGGAAGACCCGGTATCGACTTCCATCTTACAGGAAGCACCTTCTAATGAGACGGTGAGGTAAATCTTATTGGCAACTGCCACAGACACAGCGTGATTCACCGTGATGTCAAAGGGCTCATCGTAGCGGGACACCTCGAAACAATCGTCATGCCGGGCAGCCGGTCTTTTACCTAGGCAGCGGTTCCGAACTGCCTCGGTTGGGGCCGTACTTGCGGAGAGGGTCACCCGGCAGACCCTGGACAGGTGGCCTCTCTTTCCGCAACGGCGGCATATGGCAGTTTTAAAACGGCAATCAGCCCTAACGTGGTTACCGCCACAGCCTATGCAACCGTCCGGAGGAAATTTAGTGGTTGGAAAGCCCCTCTTCCTCCGGGTTGACTTGAGGCGGCTGACAGCCGCTTCATCCTCAGAGATGCCATCTTGGTCAGACTCTTCATGATGGACAGACAAAGGCTTTGTGGCGGGCGCAGCTCCTGGCTGGAAATGTTGGATTTCCGTGGCGGACCAGTCTGACATTTCTGCCGCCCTGGCCTCATCGAGAGCCACCTTAAGATCTAAGTCCGAACGGGCCAGCAAGCACCGTTGGAGCTTCAAGTCCTTGACGCCGCAGACTAGTTGGTCTAGTAGCATCTCGTCAAGGTTGCGAAATTCACAATGTAGGGCAGCCGATCGCAAGGAGGCCATATAATCATTGATGGATTCCTCATCTTTCTGCGATTGTTGCCAAAATGCATGCCGCCGCGCGATACATGAGGGCGTTGGGGCGTAGTGATTCCTCAACTTCTCCAACAGCAAGTCCCAAGGCACGTCAAAAACTTGTTGAGGGGCTGCCAGGGCCCTGGCAGTTCCAAAGATTTCGCTACCACACAAACTGAGAAAATAGCCCCTTTTCCGTGCGCTAGATAAGTCAGTCAGGTCGTTCGCCTGTAGGAAACATTCAAATCTCTCAAGATAGGCATCCCATGTCTCTGACACCGGTACGAACGAGGTGAACACCGGCAAGAAGGTAGACATGGTCACTACTTGCCGGAAATTGCCTTGGTGTGCTGTCTTGTCTCTCGTGACAGAGAGTATCCTGGTGGGTTGTCACAGTTCCACAATTATAACGTCAATAGCCGTTGCCTCAGAGTGATCCCACCTTCGTCGTCAATGTTCTATCTGGAGAACTAGGTAATGACGAGGAGGCTTGGCTAACAAACACAATACTTTATTGCTAACAATAGGAACTCTTGAACCAACAACTCAGTGCGCACGCGTCTGCTGTGTGTCAACTTGTTGCCGTCTGACAGCTGCTTAAATAGAGGCTGTCAGATTGGTGGGGCCCAATAGGAATGTAGCGTTTTCCCGCTAGCTGCCTGCTCGCGTCTAACCCAATCAGACCAGGGCAGCAACAACGAAGGCTCCGGCGGAGGTCGTACTTGTGAGGACTTAACAGAAGGGGTCTGTAGGTCATCTAGTCCAACCCCCCCCACCCAAGCAGGACACACTACACAGAGGTAGGTTTCAGCAGGTTCTGACCAGTTCTGGAGAACCGGTAGTGGAAATTTTGAGTAGTTCAGAGAACCGGCAGTAAAAATTCTGACTGGCCCCGCCCCCATCTATTCTCTGCCTTCCATGTCCCAGCTGATTGGGAAGAAATGGGGATTTTGCAGTATCCTTCCCCTGGATTGGGGAGGGAATGGAGATTTTACAGTATCCTTCCCCTGCCACACCCACCAAGCCATGCCACGCCCACCAAGCCACACCCACAGAACCGGTAGTAAAAAAATTTGAAACCCACCACTGACCTACACCATTTCTGACAGATGGCAGTCCAGTCTCTTCTAGAAAGCCTCCAGTGATAAAGCTCCCACAACTTCTGAAAGCAACTTCCATGGGTTGATTGCTCTCACTGTCAGAAAATTTCTCCTTATTTCCAGGTTGAATCTCTCCTTGATCAGTTACCATCCATTATTCCTTGACTGACCTTTGGGTGCTTTGGAAAATAGCTTGTCCCCCCCTCCTCTCTGTGGCAGCCCCTCAAATATTGGAAGATTGCTATGATTGTCTCCCCTGGTCCTTCTGTTCACTAGACTAGCCATGCTCAGTTCCTGCAACCGTTCTTCATATGCTTTAGCCTCCAGTCCCCTAATCATCCTGGTTGCTCTTCTCTGCAGTTTTTCAAGAGTCTCTAGAAAGTTGAACTCTAGAGTTGAAGTCCACAAGTCATAAAAGGGCCATCATTCCCCACCCCTGTTCTAAATAGACATTTATGTGGCCCTTATTGGCATTTGCAGCAGGGTCTACAAAACGGCTCTTCGGCTTTGTTCTGAAAAGCATTCCTTTGAGGCTGACCCCCTTCTCCTGTGCCAAACAGGGCCTCTTCTTCACTGTGGGGCTCTCGGACGGCCCTCAGTTCTTGATTTCAGGCAAAGGAGGGTGGTCCCCAGGACTGGCTCCTGCTTGGGTATCCCCTCTTATCTCCTTCTCCTCCTCAAACTCTTGGGGAAGGCTGCCCTTTGGAGACATCTGGAGCCCCAGCACCTTTGGGGCCCCCTGGCTGATATCTGAGCCAGGTCTCAGGGTTCAAGTAATAGATCCATTGCAAGCAAAAAGTCCGAGGAAGATGGATTCCTCAAAGAATAGCTTTATTGGAAATATCATATTGGCACAGATCTGGTGAAAACCGACTCTGAAGGTTCCCATGGTTTTCACCTAATTAAAAGTGAAAGTTCCCCCCACCTTTTTTTTTTTTAATTTGATTTATATGCCACCCTTCTCCAGAGACTCAGGGCAGCTTACAATGCGTTAAGCAATAGCCTTCTTACTTTTGTATATTTATACAAAGTCAGCTTATTGCCCTCACAAACTGGGCCCTCAATTTACCTACCTTAGAAAGGATGGAAGGCTGAGTCAACCTTGAGCCTGGCGAGATTCGAACTTACAGTAATTGCAGGCAGCTGGTGTTAATCACAATGCTATCAGTCTGCTGAGTTACATGGCCCAATCAAGGCAGCGTCCACTTGTCTAGTGACATCACTCCTCCTTTCTCTTGGCCAGGTGTGAGAAAGTCCTTGGTTCCCAGGAGAAAGTATTTTATTTTGACTACACAACCCCAGCTATCTCTAATCCTCCCCCTCCCTATCCCTCAGCTCCAGTGTGGCAGCACTGAAGCTCCAAGATGGCTTCGGCCAGGCCAGTTTCAGGGTTGACACCAGGCATGTGGCCAGCTGGGTGCGCTTCCATCCTGCTGGGTCAGAAGTCCTGTCAAATCCCACCACTGCTGCATCGTGTTCTGCCTAAAAATATTCCTCTTTAGGCCTGAGCGCATAACATATAAACATGAAAGCGCTTATTATCTTTTAATCACCAGCTTTGTCCTCGCCGCTTTTAGCAGCGCTGTTATGTTCCCATCAGGATGAAAATTAATTTGTCATTTCAGCAGTATTTTTAGGAAGGTTTGCATCTCCTCCACTTTCTCTCCCACTCCAGGGGAAGGTGCCGGAAGGTCCTCCGTGTGTTCCCCCTCCCCCTTTCTGCTTCCACAGCACTTCCACCTCCTGGGCCTGGGGAAGCCCCACAGCAAAGGATGCCAGCCAAGGAGGCTCCTGCCTCCACTCTTCAAGCTCCAGGAACATGAGATGGAGAATTCTTGCCAAGCTTCTTCTGGAAAGAGTAATAAACTCTGCAATAAACTTTTGAAACAGTCTTATTTATTTCTTTAAATAATTTATATGGCCGCCTATCCAAAATCAAATAATTCTGAACAGCTAACAAAGCACAGGCGTAAAATAACACACAACAACAGCCACCAGGAAACACATAATCAGAAAGTCCTCAGGAAACCACTTCATGGCACAGTAGGGATAAGGTGGCACTGTGACCCACACCAGCCCTCGTTTGGGGTGGTAGGCAACGTGTCCGGAGTGATTCACTCTTTCACCTGGTTGCTTCTTCGCTCTCAGCTTGACAACAGTTGGGAGGGGAGAAGGGTGGGAAAGGAATGCCAAAACTCCATCTGCAGATCATGAGACCCTGCTACCACCCTCAAGGCCATGCCACACCGGACTGTTCCCATAACAAAAGAAGCGGATGCAATTGGACAACGCAATGAATTTATTTTATTTATTTATTTATTTATTTATTATATTTCTATACCGCCTTTCTCCCGTAGAACTCAAGGCGGTGTACAGTCAAGAAAAATATAGACACACAAACATCATAAAATTGCTAATTAAAATTATTACTTAGTTTGGTCAATTAAATAAAACACAGAATTAGATCACATTTAAAAAATCATTCACATGTTCATATGTTTAGCCCCGCCTGTTGGAACATCAGGGTCTTGAGGGCACGGCGGAAAGCACGGAGATCAGGGATATTCCGTATCTCCGGGGCAGTTCATTCCAAAGGGTTGGAGCCCTCACAAAGAAGGGCCTCCCCCTGGGAGTCGCCAGTCGACATAATTTGACTGACGGTACCCTGAGTAATCCCTCCCTGTGAGAACAAACTGGTCGGTGGGAGGCTATTGGTGGCAAAAGACGGTCTCGTAGGTACCCAGGTCCTAAGCCATGGAGCGCTTTAAAGGTGATAACTAACACCTTGAATCGCACCCGGAAGACCACCGGGAGCCAGTGCAGCTCGCGTAGGAGAAGTGTTACATGGGCGTAATGAGCTGCGCCCATAATCACCCGCGCGGCTACGTTCTGGACCAGTTGGAGCCTCCGGGTGCTTTTCAAGGGGAGCCCCATGTAGAGAGCATTACAGTAGTCCATACGGGAGGTAACTAGGGCATGAGTGACCGTGCGCAAGGTGTCCCGATCCAGAAAGGGACGCAACTGGCGGATCAGGCGAACCTGATAAAAGGCACCCCTGGCCACGGCCGTCAAATGATCTTCTAAAGATAGCCGTGAATCCAGGAGGACACCCAAGTTGCGGGCCCTCTTTGTGGGGAGCAAGATCTCATCCCCTATTGTCAGTGATGGTACCAGCTGACTATACCGAGACGCCGAAAGCCACATCCACTCGGTCTTGGAGGGGTTGAGTCTGAGCTTGTTTCTCCCCATCCAGATCCGCACGGCCTCCAGGCAATGGGACATCACAGCAAGGGCATCATTGGGGTGGTCTGGGGTGGAGATGTATAGCTGTGTGTCATCAGCATACTGATGAACACTCACCCCGAAACCACGGATGATCTCGCCTAGCGGTTTTACATAAATGTTGAACAGAAGGGGTGAGAGGACTGACCCTTGCGGCACCCCACAAATAAGGTGCCTCGAGGTCGACCTCTGCCCCCCTGCCAACACAAACTGCGAACGGTCAGAGAGGAAGGAGGAGAACCACCGAAGCACGGTGCCCCCTATTCCTAACCCCTCCAGCTGGTGCAGTAAGATACATGGTCGATGGTATCAAAAGCCGCTGAGAGATCTAATAGGACCAGGATAGAGGAGCAACCTCTGTCCCGAGCCCTCCAGAGATCATCCACCAACGTGACCAATGCCGTTTCCGTGCTGTATCGTGACCTGAAGCCCGACTGGAACGGATCCAGATAGACAACTTCATCCAGGTATCGGGGTAGTTGTCGCGCCACCACACTCTCAACAACCTTCGCAACAAAGCGAAGATTGGAGACTGGACGATAATTTGATAATATAGCCGGGTCCAGGGAAGGCTTCTTGAGGGGGGGCTTCACAACCGCCTCTTTCAAGGCGGCGGGAAAGACACCCTCACTCAGAGAAGCATTTATAATCCCCTGGAGCCAGCCTCGTGTAACCTCCCGGGAGGCCAGTACCAACCAGGAGGGACACGGGTCCAATAAACATGTGGCAGCGTTAAGCTTGCCCAGAATCCTGTCCACGTCCTCAGGAGCCACAGAGTCAAACTCTTCCCAGATAACGCTCTCAAGACCTGCCCCCGTCTCCTCCCCTGGATCTACCCAATCGGAGTCCAGGCCTTCCCGAATCTGAGCGACTTTATCATGCAGGAATTGTACAAAATCCTCAGCTCGACCCTTTAAGGGATCTTCCCATACCCCCACCTGAAGTAGGGAGCGGGTCACCCTAAACAGCGCAGCTGGGCGGTTCTCTGCAGATGCAATAAGAGCGGAGAAGTAGCTAGACTTCGCCGCTCTTATCGCCACTAGGTAGGTCTTAATATAAGATCTCACCTGTGTTCGGTCAGATTCAGATCGGCTTGTCCTCCAATCGCTCTCCAGGCGTCTTTTCCGACGCTTCATCTCTCTCAGCTCCTCGGAAAACCAAGGAGCTAGACGAGATCGGCATCGGGTCATAGGCCGCAAAGGCACAACACGGTCCAAGGCCCCAGTAGCCGCCCTGTCCCAGGCGACCACCAGGTCCTCAGTCGAGTCGTGAGCCAGAGTCTCAGGAAATGGCCCAAGCTCCATCAGGAACCTTTCAGGGTCCATCAGGCACCTGGGACAGAACCATTTGGTTGGTTCCGTCTCCCTGCGGTGGGTGGAAGTGACTTGAAAGTCCATGTGAAGGAGAGAATGATCAGACCATGACAAGGGCTTGATGTCTATATCCCCTATTCTTAGATCATTCAGCCACTGATCAGAGACAAAAATCAAGTCCAGAGTGTGATTCCCCAAGTGGGTGGGGCCTTGAACTACCTGGGTCAGGTCCATGGCCGTCATGGAAGCCATGAACTCCCGAGCCGTCTCCGACATCTCACCAGCGGATGGCAGGTTAAAATCCCCCATAACAATAAGTCTGGGGGTTTCCACCGCCACCCCGGCTATAATGTCAAGCAGCTCAGGCAGGACCACTGTTACGTGGCAGGGAGCCAGGTACGCAATCAGTAGGCCCATCTGAATCCCCCGACCCCACTTCACAAGGAGGGACTCACATCCGGCTATCTGAGGAACAGTGGCCTCCCTCGGGCAAAGACTTTCTCTAATGATTGCTGCCACTCCCCCACCCCTTCCCTGAGTCCTTGGCTGATGGAATGCACGGAAACCTGGCAGGCACATTTCCACAAGGGGAACTCCTCCCTCCTGGCCTAACCAGGTCTCCGTAATCCCTGCCAGGTCAGCACCCCCCTCTGAAATAAGATCATGAATGAGGGGGGCTTTATTTACCACTGACCTGGCATTACATAACATCAGCCGTAGACCCAGGGTCTGAGACTGTGAACAACCCGGGAAACGAGCAGTGCTTTGGGGGTCGGAGTGGGCAATCGCTCGTAAACAACGAGTGCGCACTCCCGAAACATAATATGGCCCCCTGCAGCCATCATATCTGCCCCTCCCACTTACTATACTAATGCCCATCGCTTCATCCCCCTGCATCCTTGTCAGATTTCTGTCCCCATCCTCCCCACCGTGATCATCAGACCCATTACCCCTTTCAGTGGATTTATGGATCCCCCCAGATCCATTCCCACAATCCCTCCCAGAACCCCTTAAAATAGAACTTAAAGATTTATCTAAAAAACCCCAAAGCCGTCGGTTTTTTGCAAACCACCTCTCGGGGTTCCAAAACCCATCCTCAAGAGCGGCCCTCAATAACTGAGAGGGCCAGACATGCGAGAGGGGGGAATCTCGCAGTGCAAGGAGCTCCGCAGCTGAATACATCAAAGATAGGAGCGAGTTGAAGGAGATGAAGGATCATTTTCTTCTAAGAGTGTTAGAGATGGTTAAGACAGGTAATTTAAAATAAGGGAGGAAATAGATGTTAAAGGAAGACCAATATGTTACAAATGTCAATACATTGGAACATCATCGCCCTCTCACGACGATGGGAAGTCTTGTGGTTGTAGTAAGTCCATCCAAAGGAGGTGGGGGTAGAGGTCTCAAAGGGTCGTCCTCTCACAGCGACCAAACCATTTGAAACAAACAAAGAGAAGGTGGTCTATCTCCCCATAATCCAAGACTCTCGATGTCTGTATCTCCTCCAGTCCTGATACCAGCGATGGCCGAGGATTAGATCAAAAAAGTAAGGCAGAGCCACTGGACAAAGTATTTAGGGTTAAATAATCAGGGTAATCTTGGGGAATAGGTGGTAAATAAAGCTGCAGATCGATCTAAGATTGCAAGTTAACGCTGAGTGGTCGTAATAGATCTAGATCTGATAAAGGAGAGAGGGACAGTTGAGGGGGAGAGTTCCTGTTTGTAATCCTCAGTCCCTATCCATCACCTTGCTCAGGCTACTTAGTTCAATTAGTTTAATAAGTCCTCAGAGTTTCAAGAAAGAGGAGTGCAACTCATCCCTAGAGGTTGAAGGGATCCTAACATTTATAGCCTTTGCAGCATTGCCCTCTCCTCTATTAACAACGAGGGCTTCCTTGCAGCCTCCTGGTGTTGCCGTCGCTGTCGCTGCCATTAGCGCCATTCCCCTTGCCATTGTGGTAACCCCCCTTGCCATAGACATCATCGCCGCCGTGTTGCTACATGCAGCGCCTATTAGCCCAGGCATCATTATCAACACCCTATCCGGAGTCGCTGTTGCCACCGTCTCGCCAACCATTTCATGTATTAGACTCAGGGGTTGACCCGGTCGTGACAGCCAGGCTTTGATGTTGACATCCTCCCCACCGCCCTCAGTCTTTTTACCAACAAACAGCTGATCTTCGGGCTCCGCTCGGGTTTTATCCTTGGGCTCCATCCACAGCTCTATTGAGCCGAAAATACCTCAGCTTGCTGGGAGGGGGGTCTGTGGATGGTTAATTGACCCCCACACTCTTG